ACAGCTCAGGGCTGAGCAAAGCGCTCGACATGTATTCGATTAGGAAACATTGCAACTAGGAGCAAACGTCACTTCACTTCCACGTGTTACTTAGATAGTGGAAGAATAATTTGTTGGTTGGGTTTGTGTGTTTTGACCATCCAATACGAGAACAGCGGAATACTCTAGTGCCAAGACTTTGTGAGACTTTTTGGCTCACAAAAGGCCTGTGTGAAGACTAACGAGGAGCAAGTACCTCCTGTAGTCATCGAATGGAACGATACACTATTACCGAGCGTTTCTAATAACCTATGTCATATAAATACGAAGAACTACAATAGACATAACTCAATTTTAGGGGTGAACAACTTCAATATTATTGTCTGTTACTTAAAATCGTGATCTCAAATCCCATCAAGAGTTAATCATACTGCTCTTTGTTGACCTCCTAATTTTAAGCGTCAACAAACAAAATTGCTGTTTTCTTCTCAACCCTAGAACTAATCGTTAGTGTTGGGCACAAACTATTAAAGAAACATAAACATATCTTAATCACAGTAGTAGTGATTTTTAATTTTAAATAAAGTTTCTACTTTAGGTGGCCTCTCTCAAGCCTCAAGTACAATGAATGGGAATGATTTTCCAAGTCATCTTCTTTTACCTACAAAATTTTCTCTGGGATTCTTCTCGACTCTCGAATACCTACAAACAAGGCATCCGAAAATGATTCCTGCTAATAAATATATTATTTTTCTTCTCGACTGTTCCTACGGGGATGTGATCGTGTAATTATAATATGATTTCAAAGCCTTTTCTTGAAGTAATTGTGATTAGTTTACTCTAATTCATTGCTAGGGTGTCCTATATACCGTCCTACCCGTCGTCCTTTTCATTGTCGTTGTCGTCGATATCATTGTTGATCATGAATCAAATATCGTCTCGATGGAGGCCCGTTTTTCTCATTTTTTTTTTATTTGTACGGTCACGGTTAAGTCACGTTAATATTTTATATTTTTATTGTTTTTTATCTTATTATTTCTATAAATGTTAACGTGACTTAACCGTGAACGCATAAAATAAAAGAGAATGAAAATGACACCTAAACAGAAGGGCAAACAATCTCCTCCTGTCTTGATCCTTCTAATAAGGTCTTTGGACTGACTAAATTATAATATGTATATGATTGGCACTTTTTCGTCGAGTAGACCATAGATTGGATACCCCTATGCACCTTTTGTTTATGATAAGGTTTTGATTTGGTACAATAGGAGTTGCGATTAATTTCGTCTAAGAGCATCTTCAATGAAAGAAGTTAAACTTGGAAAGCTGAGTTGGTTTAGCTCTTCCTTTGCATCTTTAATGTGAATAGTTGAGTTCCCTCACTCCCAGATGAATGTGCACAATTTTTAGCAAATTTTATATCACGTTTGCACCAATTGTTTTCTATGTTGAAAATTTATATGCAATCAGAAAGTTAAAGCGACATTATCCTAATTTTATTATGCATTATTTTTTATTACTTACATAATATTGCATAATTGATTTGTAATACCGTTATTTTTACATGTAATTTTTTTTTCTTTCTAAATACTTGTAAAGAAAATGATAAAAGTGATAAGTTAATAGGCCCACCTTGTCACATAAGATGATTTAACTGAAATTTTAACAGAGCTAACGAAATGAGACACAAAATTGACATTTAGAGGATTAAGTGGGACGTTTTGAATTTTAAGTAACAAAATGAGATTATAATTGAGTTTCGAGGGACATTGATGTAAATAAGCCTTAATAATTATTCTCAACAACAGAAAAGCTTAGGCCTTTTGGGTAACTTGGAATTTTATTTATGAAAAAAAAAGAGATATTATCTAGGGGGAGGGGGTTGACAACTAACAATGAGATTGATCATTCAATACTACGATATAGTGGTATACCTCTTCATTTAAAAGTGAGAGGTCTTAGGTTCGAATCTCGTAGATGACGAATTCGATACCAAATTAGGTTGCCAATTGTGTAGCTTAGCTGAACTTTCCCTCCCCTTAGTATAAAAATATTGATATCAATGTATTAAAAAAAAAAAACAGTGTGGTCGTATCCGATTGCATCATGCATCTTCTAATTATTTTATTTCTCTCTTTCTGATGAATTAATAAACAAACACAGGGGTCACTAATCTTAATTTATTTGTAGGTTTAGTCCTCAATTTTAATGTATCCTTGATTAACCAGTCAGCGGAGATCACGAAAAAATCCTTCTCCACTAATCACGCATGTTTCTTTATATATAGAACAATATTTTACTACTCAAAAGATGAGTATGAGTTTTTATTCAAAACTATTCGTCGACAATTTATAGAACTAAGATCGTTTAGTCATCGAATTGTATAAAAATAGATAAACAAAATTGGTAAAACATTACGAATGATCTGTGTATTTGCTATAAAATTATTTTTATGGTTAAAATTGGAGTTCATGCACATAATTTATTGGATATGGATCGTTACTAATATTTTTTTTTTAAGTTTTTTACATCAGCAATACTTTACATTAAATTATCTAAATTACAACAAAATATTCAATAATTAGGTGTAAAAGGTGAAGTACATTGTCGTGTCTCTAATCAACTTCATGAAGTTCAAACATGATGGTCACTGTCACTAATTATTAATGTGGTTAATTCCAACCAAAAATAGAAGAAGATTTGGCTTTTATTATCATACATCCTCTTTTCTTTATTTTTAATTACTATTTTTTCCTTATCAACATGCTAATCATCTCTTTAGCAAGATATGTAAATGTGACCTTTACCTGTTTAATAATTTTATATTGATTACTACCAATAAAGCAGCATGGCTTTATCAACAGGACAGATAATTATTTTAAACTTAATTAACTAACAAATTGATCAAACCATATTATTTTGCCAATAAATCAATTTATTTGTAATGCAAATAAAAGAAATTATATGGGTCTAAGTGTTATAAACAATATTCTACATTAATCTATACGATGAGGGAGAAAAGTTTGAACTTGGAATGCAATGAACAATCCACCACCTACAAATGAGGGTCATCTTCAGTCATCAAAGGCTAAACGTAACCCTTGACTATGTTTTAGCCCTGTAAATGTTTTATATTTTACAGACTAATTTAGGGCTAATTTTTTTTCATCTCAAACCATGCGGTGCTTTATTTTATTCCTCCTTCATATTTTATAACTTTTTTGGGCCAAACTTTGTCTACTCTGAGGCTACATATTACCTGCCTTGTGACCAAACTAATCATGATTCTGTTAGCCCGAATTCCTTTAGCCCTGTGGTTGGATACTGATGCTTACAATTTTTTATGGCTAAATGTGGCTTATAGTCTTTAGCTCGAGAGGACCTAATTATATATTAATTCAATAATTATCTTATAAATAATCAAATGTATCAATCGCACATTAATGTTAGGAAAATAGGTTTCTTAACTCGAAAGAGTAAAATGATGACCATACGCTCGAAACTAGCTAGTGGCGACGGGCCATGCGTGGCCACATATATTCAGACTAAGACAGGCTGAGCTACAGCTCTACTGGTTATGTACTGTAATGCATGCATCGAAAATTCGAAAAGGTCAAAGAAACTTTCATATTCATTAGGACTAGGATCGGGGTTGATTTGGATTTTATATAAAGTATATTGGATGGACGGCAACTCGTAATTTCGTACGCAAACTATATTTATTGGTTAATGATTTCTTCCGTATTGAAAAGCAACTTATATGTTACAGATATACTAGCAATGTGACATTTTATTTTAATATCTACAATATTTTGTATAAATTTTCTCGACATAGAGTTATATTATTAACACGGAATAAGAATGAATGTGTGCTCATATCACAAAAGTCGTACATATATCACAAAAGTCGTTCTCCTCGTATTGTCAAGATCTCATGCAAGAAGATCCAAAGTATATATGATGAGAAACCACATGGATGAACATGCATGATTAGGCTTTGCAGTTGGCAATTTGGCATGCACACCTGCACTTTCCCCTTATTTTTCACGTGGAGTGGGAGATGTAATTTACATCAATCTAATCAGGGTTTCGTGTGGTTGTTTTGACGTATAGGTGTATCAGATTCATTTAATGTGTAAAATTAAATGAGGGCTCATTGTGATGGTGGGGGAAGTACTTCTAATCAATCATACAATGTAAACTGTGTTAAAAACTTAAATTAAGTATAGTTTATTTAAGATGCCAGTATTTTAATGTTCTTGTTTTATGCAAGTTTCCGTTGCATAAAAGAGAGGTTCGAATTCAAGTGTGGAGCGCTTGGCTCCTTGCCTCCTCCGGGTAATGTTAGAGAGATAACATTTGGAGACAAAATTTAGAAATTAAATTATATGTTATCAATAAAAATAAGCACGTTTATCAACGTTTAAATAATAAATCAATGATCAATTTTCGTATATTTTAGTTTCCAAAATTTTATCTACAACCGTGTCCTCCAGTCAATCAGTCTTATCCTATTTCACAGTTGGCCTGCTTCCTTCCTCATCCAATCACAAAACTGAAACAAAACAAAAGAAAGCGAAGAAAAGAAGTGAGAGGCCTGAAGGTTGCAACTTGCAATCGTAAAGTCGCCCCTTCACAGACACCCACCCCTCCCTCCCTGCTGCCTGCTGTCCTCCCTCTCTTCCCCACACATACTACCCAGTACATTCACTGTATACCCTCCTTTTCCCCTAATTTTTACTTTTCCCCCCACCTATTGCCTTTTGCCCTTTTGATTTCCTTACCTTTTTAACCCTATGTATTTACCAAATTGCCATGCCCACTGCCCAATCTCTCTCTCTCTCTCTCTCTCTCTCTCTATATATATATATATATATACATAGCTGTATATTATATCTCACCTTCACAACATTCACAACCACTTTTCCTCTCACTTCATATATATACATCCACCATTGAAAGACCCTTGAGAACTAAGCTAATATCATATATATAACATATATGTATCTATAGACTATATTGTTGCTATATATATACAGAGAGAGAGAGATCATAATCCATTAATTTAGTATGGGGTTACAAAGCCAGCTGAACGACGTCTCATCCGACTCCATCCCACTCCTACTCATCGCACTCATCGCCAGTTCCATCAACCACCTCCGCTCCTCCCTCCTCACCCTCCTTCATTTTCTGGGCCTCAGCCCCCATCCCGGTCCAGGCACAGACTACGACGAAGGCGATATTGCGGGCCCGACCGTGGGCTCGGGACTCGCGGGTCCCGTTAACCTGTCCGACCAGCTCGCCATCAACCGCCAGTTATCCTATCCATACGACCGTGACGACGCCGTTGGCCACCGCACGGGATTGCGATTGCGTGGTGTGCTTGTGCACCTTAAGGGATGGGGAGCAGGTCCGCATGCTCCAGTGCCGCCACGTGTTCCACAAGCAATGCTTCGACTCCTGCCTCAACCACCTCAACTTCAATTGCCCTCTCTGCCGCTCTCCCGTCGTACACCGCGACGGCGGCGCGCTCTCGAGCTCCCGACTCTCCCGCGACCTCCGCCACTGGCTTTCCATCCGCTGAGAATCAATGGAGATAACATCATAAATATATGATCACATGGTGTCCACTTATATCCGCCCATCCGCCGGCGGTTTCTTCCTTTTTTCCTTCTCTGCTTTTTCCTTTATTTATTTATTTATTTTTGATATTTTAGAGAGTTGTTGGCCATGGATTCTTTGGTCCTTCTAACTTCTTTTTTTTTTTGAAAAAAAACTCTCTGGCTTTTTTTTTTCTAGAATATAAATTTTTGGTGTGCTAATTAAATAAGGAAGAGGGATGTTTTTGTATTTACCGCCATTTTTAATATATTCTATGATGAATGTTAAGATTAGAAATTTAAAAAGGTTACTAAATGGTAAATAAAAGTGGGAATTATATGCTAATTTGGGTTTTACTAGTTCTATGTTCGTGTAAATATAAAAATTAAAAGAAAAGAAAAGAAAAATATATAGAAAAGAGAGAAGTCATAGTGTGTGTAAATATAAAAATTAAGAAAAAGAAAAATATATGAAAAATAGAGAAGTTGAAGAGAAATGTGAAAAAAAGAAGAGGGAGAGAAAATGTGGGTTATGTTTTCTTTTTAGAGTAATGATATACTTGTACTATCATTTGTATTATTTTTATTTATTTTTAATTATATATGCTAAGTGACATAAAACAAAAAAAAAAAAGAAAAAAAAGAAAAGAAAAGGATTGGGCCGTTAAATAATTGCAAAGCCCAAACATATAATTGTTCTACTTCCTGCGAAGAAATCTAAAACATCAAGTACCCTTTTCGTCTAAAGGGACATCCATCTGGCTGCGAAGATCCTGACGACTAGTTTTCTTGCGAACGTGAACGGACAAACCATCTTAGAAATTTTCCGGGGAAAATACTACGTGCACAACATCTCATATGATGATTAAGTCCTCCGTTTGGCCGACGTCAACTTTGCCTACGGATCCTGCAGCCTTCCGTCTGGAACTGTCGAAACAGGCGACGGGAATGTCAAGGATTTTCAGTTCCAAGGAGCTGTGATCTACCATACTAGTCGTTTTCGATTCGTCAAGTGCTTCAAAAACATCAGCGGCCTGCCAACAGCTGCTAATTACACAAGAGTTCCATGTTTGGCTGCTTCAAATGAGAGCTACTTCTATGCGGTTTATGTCCCTGAGTATTATTATCGTCCTCAACCGTCGTGCTCGCTTGTTGCAATGGCTCTTGTAGATTATCATCCGGACATGAAGTTCACTTCGTACGAAGCCGTCATGAAACTATTGTGTAATTAGCAGTTTGGTCTAGTTCAAAAGCTCCTGGGGTGCTCATGCAAATAATTCAGATATTGGGTCAATTTGGGCCTATTGGCAGTTTGGTCTAGTTCTTTGGTTATGGGCCATTGAGCCTTGTACATTTTCCAAATAGGCCTCATTTCATTGGGCCACTTGTTATAAATTGTTTCTCAAAAGACTATAATCTCCTTCCAACATGAAATTGCATATTATAAAAATGAGAATTGTTATTGTCACTCCAAAAATCTCATTCTACATTCTAAACTTTCTATATTTGAAAAGAAAAATACACTTGTAAGGAGTGTAGAATGAGATTTTTGGAGTACCAATAACACTTCCCTATAAAAATAACCAGCTAATAAATTAAAAAACTGGGCACACCATGGTCCCAACAATTAAATGGCTCCAATGACAAACAGTCAGCTTGCCCATGAGCTTATCCAATCCAAGACACTAGACATCTTCGGTCTTCAAAATTCAGAATTTCAGATAACGCGTTTATGTCATATGAATATTAGTGAGTTGCACTAGGTTCAAATTTACTCATTTAGTGAGGGGTCTCGCAAATAAAATTTTATTTGAAAGACGTCCTACATAATTTTTGAAAAAAGACCCTATAAAATAGACGTTTACAATAACAACTATCAAGTTTTATCCTATTAAGTGAAGTCGATTTTATGAATCATAAAATGCGTTGGACTCAGCTTTGTGTCAAGTATTCCGTTAACTCCAAGTACTTCATATTTTTTTATAGTCTTTTTCAGAGTCTTCCTAGATCTTCCTCTACTCTTTTTTTCTTGAGGTTACATTTCATAATCGCAACTCTGATTAAAGCAATTGTAAGTCTCCGATTCACTTGTCCAAACTATCTTAACTGATTTTCTCTCATCTTATTGCATATGTTGCTAACAGATAAACGATTAACATCTTAAGATACAGTGTGGGTGTGGGCTTTACAAAATGCCCTTCAATGATTCCAACTGTTATAGCAGGCAACTTGACAGAGTCATTACTATCTTTAGAAAAAGACAACCCAACTGGACGTCTTTGTGCGGAGAAATAAAAAGAATCAGCTACCCTTTTCGCCTAAAGGGCGATCCACAGCATGTGGCTGGAAAGTTTTGACCCACTCCCCTTCGTTGACTAACAAAGGAACATCAATGGAGATTTCCTTCAAGAAGAAGAAGATAGGGCCATGGCGTTCCAAACTTTGGATAAAAATCAACACGCCTAAACATTTTTTTGAAATTCCACGAGACTATATATACGTAGAGCTTCATCCCAAATTATTCACCCAAAGTTCTGAATTGCATCATTATTCTGCAAAAGCATATAATATTTATCATGAGGACGGTCCAATATACATCTTCTCTTCTCTATTCTCTGCTGATTATGTTATTTTTCGTTCAAATTCAAGCACAACCCAACTGTTCGTCTTCGTGCGGAGAAATAAAAAACATCAGCTACCCTTTTCGCCTAAAGGGCGATCCATCCGGCTGTGGTGACTCCGATTACGAGCTCTCTTGTGTCGACAACAAAGCCATCCTAGAGATATTCCCCGGGAAATACTACGTGCACAATATTTCCTACTATGATCAAACAATCCGGTTGGTCGACGTCAACTTTGCAAACGGAAGCTGCGGCCTTCCGTCTGGTCCTGTCGAAACAACGGACGGCTACATCCGGGATGTTCGATTCAGGGGATACGGGTTGAACCCAGGAAGTCGTTTCCGGTTCGTCAAGTGCTCAACAAACATCAGCAGCGTGCCGGAAGCTGCTAATCACACAACGGTTCCTTGCATGACAAGAAACGGGACTTACGTCTACGCCGTTTATGATGGCGATTACTCGTATTATGAACCTCAAAAGTCATGCTCTGTCATTTCGTTGGCTCCTGTTGATCTTCGTAAAGATGTTGCGAAGTTCAATTCTTATGTGGCCGTCATGGAACTATTGAAAGCTGGCTTTGAAGTTGGATGGTCAGTTCAGTGCAGAGATTGCTCTTTGGCTGGTAAACAATGCGTAGTAAAATCAATGGATAAGCCACTCATCTATATCTGTGCAAAAGGTCGGTTCCTACATTACCCTTTAAGTGGTTTAAATTCGTCTGTTAAATTTCCTAAAATTCTTCAACGCATGTCTAACCGTTAATTACGCAATTTATTTTCACAGTTCGAATTCGTAACATTTGATCAATTGCACTTTATGTCTCTTGATTATGTTTTCTTTTCCCTAACGTTGCACTTTTTTTTTAATGCAGAATACAAAGAACTGACAAGAGCTGAAGGAAACTGGATAATTGCTGCAATCGTTGTGGGAGGTAGTATTACTATCGTATTTGGACATACATACATACATTGACAAAGTTGTTATTTTTTTCCCATTTTTTATTCCGTTCCGATTTGCAACTGATAAAAATCTTGTTTCTGCATTTTCAGGTCTGATTGCTCTGGGAGTTATCATTGGTATAATTGTAGTTGTCATCCGAAGATGTCAGAGAAGACGAAATGCAGGAGATAACACGAACAAGAATCTGCAGAATCGGATTGATGCCTGAGCCAACAATCAGAAATTCTTGGATGCGTGAATTCCTTAAAAAATTATTTCCTTTTTTTTTTTTTTGTAATGCATTTTAAAGAATGTAGCTCGATTTTTCCCTTTTTTTTTGGATGTATAATTCAGTAAATTACTAAGTGTAATTCCAAATTATTTCGTAAATTACCAGGATAAATAAATCAAATGTGAATTTTGGCCTGTAATCGGATACGTGAATTCCATCATTTGTTATGTTTGATATAAAGATTACACATGGACACTTAGTACTACGATTTAATGATATTCTTCTTCACTTGTAAGTAAGAGGTATCATATTCGATTTTCGCCAAAGCCAAATTTGAACTACATTATTGCTAGTCATTATGGCACATAACCCTCTCCCACACTCCTTTAGTGTAGATAGTATTGTTGGTTCAAAAAAAAAAAAAAAAAACATACACGTGAAATATCTTAAATTTCCTTATATATATATATATATATATATATACATATACACACCCACTGCTGTAAAAATCTCAGTATTAGGCTACTGACCACCGTCCCGATTACTTTTTAGGTGTTTGAAAATTAAGAAATAGCGCATAGACATGCTTAGGTGCCTGTCTAGCCTGCCTAGGTTGTGACTCTCACCTAGGCAGAAAACAGATAACTTTCATTTTGCATTTTATTTTTTCAATAAATTGTGAGAGACTTATTAAATACTTGAATAAACGTTCATTATATGGTTGTTCCCATGTTTTCAATATGTTCTCATATTTTTTAATTTATATGTTAATTTATTTTTTGGTCAAACTAGAAACTTTCATTAATTACAAAAACTATTGCATGAAATAACAAGCCCAAAGGCAGTCCAAATAAAAGAATAACCCATAAGAAATTACAATAGAAATGCCCAAAAAAACAAGCCCACAACAACAAAAACCCTAGATTTGGAAGACTACTGCCTCCACCATAGCAGCTGCTCCCGCCATTGTTAGGGGTGGGTATAAAAACCGCCAAACCGCAAAACCGCATCGAACCGTAAGAAAAAAAACCGAAAAAAATCGTGTTGATCGGAAAAGTCAACTTTGAGTGAAAAACTGAACCGAACCGTTCAAACCGGTTCCGGTTCCGGTTTCGAATAACCAAGAACCGACGGAACCGAACCGTTTTATTAATAATAAATAAATAAATTATATACACACACACACATGTCATGGTATAATAGGTTGAAAAATAGGTTGAAAAATTGTGTACAGGAGCTGCTGCTTCTCGCTTGCTCTCTGAAGTCTGAAAACCTGCAATTTGTTTCATCATTTTTTTGTTTGTTGACTGATTGACCAGTGCATATGTATTTTAGTTGTCTCTTTTTGTTGACTTGGTGCCACTAACAAAGACATTTGCATTAAAAAAGATGTGTTGTATGCAACTTTATGTAATCAGTTTTAGAAGATGTATTTGAATGCATAATGATTTGGTGTTCAAATAATTTATTATTAGGAACCGTAAACCGGCAAGAACCGAATCGGAACCGGTGTAGACCAAACCGTAATGTTCTAGTAATAAATTTAAGTGGAACCGCACCGAATCGAACCGTTAATATATTTCGGTTTCGGTTCCAATTTAGGGGTGGAACCGCACCGAACCGCACCGTGCCCACCCCTAGCCATTGTTGATTAGCCAGCACCATCAAGAGAAAGAACCCACGAACAAGCTGGATGAAGGGAAAATGAGGGCGAGCAAGCCACCTGCATAAAAAGCACTCCACTAATCCTACAAATAGTGCTAAAAGCACTTTAATAACCACCTAACACCAAAGTGCGCCATCGAGAAAGGATGCACGATGGGCTGAATATCAAAGGTCAGCTGTTGAGGACTGACGATGGGTAAAAGCAACAGGGGAAGAAAGAGGCATAAAATCCAGATTTGAGACAAGCTCAGAGAGGTTGAGACAATTTCAAGGAAACTAGAAATTAAGAAGGTTACTGGAAACAAGGAAGAGAAAGAAAACAGGAAAATTGAGAAGAGGGGACCATAAACTATTGGAAGGAATGGGGAGGTAGGGGAGAGAAGATGGGAGGGAAGGAGGAGGGTTTGAGGGAGGGGTAGCGGGCTAGAGAGAAGAAAGAAAAGGAGTAGCAAGGGGGTTGGTTGGGGTCGGTGGTAAAGCCTGGGGACTTTTGGTGGGAAGGGGGGAGGGGGGTTGTTTCGTGCAAGAGAGAAAATGGACTAGAACGGCTTCTAAGAATTTTTTCTTGTAGTTTTCAATTTATGTATTTCAATATAATTATGTATTTCTCTTAGTATAAGTGGATATTTATTTATATATTATATAATAAATTTAAAACTAAAAATAAAATGCCTATACCCGTTTATACGTCTAGGCACTAAGCCTCTAACCGCTGTCTTAGTAGTACCTAGCGCCTTAACCTTGTTATATAACATAAAATATCTTACATACCCATTTACATATGTACCACGTAAACAACATATTCGATAACCAAGACGTTCATCTATTATTTACCTAACATAACACCATTCTTTTCGGGGGAAAAAAAAAATATGACCCATTCTCACTCATTTATTTATTTAAAAATAGAAAAATAAATAATATGTCATGGATTGGCTGACCCTGACCTAATGACTCTTGACCGTTTGATTTTTCAAACACAAATTGCGTCTTTGCTGATTGATCGAAAAGAATAACGAGGGAGAATTGTCTTAAATCCATTATTTTAACAAAACGCGTAGCCCTCCTCCCTCCAAACTATGGCACTTCACGTCTATAGACGGCTTCAAAGTTCATACCCTAATTATCTAACCTGAGAAGAAACGATACAGAGCTAGCAGAAAACTCTGACCGAATCCCACCCATCAACTTGCAGGGGATCAAGTATAAATACAGATCCAACACTTCCTTCCATACATAAGAGGATTACAACTTTGGATTATAGTTAATATCTTGTTAATTTATAAATTAGTTCAAAGATAATACAATGATGAGAGGATTAGAATCGAAAACTGCATCCACTATTCTCTTTTCTGTGCTGATTTTCCTTATTTTCATCAATGGCGAAGCTCGAAGTGACAAAGAATTCTGTTCTTCTGCTCCTTCCTGTGGGGAAATCCGAAACATCAGCTACCCTTTTCGCCTAAAGGAAGATCCGTCAGGCTGCGGCGACCACGATTACGAACTCTCTTGTGTCAACAACAAAACAATCTTGGAAATTTCTCCAGAAAATTCTATGTGACAAGCATTTCGTACGACGATCAAACACTCCGTCTGGTTGATGCCAACTTCGCCGATGCCAATGACAGCTGCAGCCTTCCGTCTGGTTCTGTATTAACAACGGATGGATTTCTCAAAGATATACGATTTAGACGTGTCTCAGACCCTGATAGCCGTTTCAGATTCCTACACTGCTCAAGAAACATCAGCAGCGTGCCGGAAGCTGCTAATCACACAGCAATTCCTTGCTTGACAAGAAACGGGACTTATGTCTACACTGTTTATGATGGCGAATACTCGTATTATTCTCCTCAACCGTCATGCTCTGTCATTTCGTTGGTGTCGGTCTTCGTAAAGGTGTTACGAAGTTCAATTCTTATGAGGACGTCATGGAACTATTGAAAGCTGGCTTTGAAGTTGGATGGTCGCTTCAGTGCAGGGATTGCGCTCTGAAAGGTAAACCCTGCGTAGTAACCTCGAGGGTTAACCCGATCACCTACAGGTGTGAAAGAGGTACGTTTTTCGTTCTTAACTTTAGGATTAGTAATTTAATTACACATATCAGTTACAGTCACTTGATTAATTAGTCGTTTTCTTTTAAATGTTTCGCCCCGCTGACAAGTACTGAAGGAAAATTAATAATTGCGGCAATCGTTGTGGGAGGCATTTTTTACAATTTTATTTGTAAACATTGAAAATCTTGTTAGTTTTTTTTCTTGCCGGTTTCGATTTCGTGGGGATTTGCAACTGATGGAAATATTTTTTCTGCATTTTCAGGTCTAATTGCTCTGGGGGTTGCCATTGCTATATTGGTATTCGTTATCCGAAGATGTCAGAGAAGACGAAATGCAGCTGATAACACCGCGAAGAGTCTGCCGAATTAAGTATTAATCCTTGACGCCAACAATCAGCCAGTCTTGAACCACATCACGAACCCTTACCCTATTCACCCTTTATGTGTGTGATTAAAAAGTTTGATTCAATTTTTTTCTTCGTTCTATTTTCGTGTACAAGGAGATTGTAATGTTCTGTATTCAACTTGTATGTGGAATCCAAAACTATTTCGTAATGTTCTAATCCATGAAGTCGAAAAAGAGTGTGACCGTAACCTTGAAGATTATTTCGAAAGCTCCCTTAAAGTGACTCGGACTAGAAAGTATGAAGCATTACTTAGATCGAAAGATGTACGTATTTCAAGAAGAGCAGCGCCTTAATCTATGTCTATAACAAATGCGATTCATTAATTAAGCACCTTAATAAACAAATTAGGCCGGTCGAGTACACTGATTAGTGATCGAATCAAGCCAAAGAACTATATAGGTGAGAGGATTGCTTGCCAAACAAGCAAACAGAAAATCAAAGGGATTATATATTTTATCAGCAAATGGTACTGATATATGCATATTTTAAAAGTAAGATGGCCTAGAATATTTCATAATATTAAAGTTGGTGATGGGTTATGTCATCTAATTAATTCATTAATTAATTTGTGAAATGTTAAAAACTCAGTAGGTTTCAGCCAAAGAGAAAGACGAAGACAAAACGAAAAAATGAAATCTGTGGGAGGCACGGTGATCGTTCTTTCAAGCTTGCTGTGTTTGCTCCTCCTCTTAGCTCTCATCAAGATCTTTCATAAACTATGGTGGACTCCGATTCGAATACAGAATCTGGTGGCTCTGCAGGGAATCAAAGGCCCTTCTTACCGATTCGTCCATGGAAATACCAAAGAGATCTCCAGCATGCAAGAAGAAGCCATGAGCAGGCCCAAAAGTTTATCACATGACATATTTTCTCAAGTTCAACCTCACATACACTTGTGGACAAAGACATATGGTGAAGAACCTTTTACCAGTTGATAGTTTTCAAATCATTGTTCTAATCTAAATTTGTTTCGTCTTTGACAACAGGAGCAAATTTCCTTCAATGGTATGGTGCTCAAGCCCAATTGATCATCACAGAGCCTGAACTGTGCAAAGAGATACTTACGAACAAAGATAAAGCTTATCCGAAAAGCGAGACGAAAGGCTATGCGAGAAGGCTATTAGGAGATGGACTTGTGGTAAGTGATGGTGAAAAATGGGCTAAAATGAGAAAGTTAGCCAACTATGCCTTCCACGGAGAGATCTTAAAGGTAATATTACTTGTGTGTTGGTTAAGTTAGTCCGTCAAGGTAATGTGCCCGTTCTCTTGCACTCTAGTTTGAATCATTCTCGTCGTACAATAAGCTAAGAGCAAATAGGGAACAAATATGTTAATTGCTTTTGCTAGGGTATGGCTCCAACAATGATAGCTAGTGCTGAGACGATGCTGGAAAATTGGAAAGAACACGACGGCAAAGAGATTGATGTGTTTAAAGAATTTAGGTTGTACACCTCAGAAGTGATTTCCAGGACGGCCTTTGGCAGCAGCTACTTAGAAGGGAAGAACATTTTCGAGAACCTGGAGAAATTAGCCTACTTATCATTCAAAAATGCGTTCAACCTCAGGTTTCCCGGCATCAGGTAACTACTTCCATTTAACTAAATAACCATGAATTGGAACATTGCACTACTTAGGTTCTGATGTTTAATCTGCCCTTGATCAATACTTCAGTAGGTTTATTAAATCCAAGGATGAGATAGAATCAGAAAAGCTTGAGAAAAGTATCCGCGACTCTATCATGGAGATGATCAGGAAACGAGAAGACAAGGCAATGGTTGGAGAAGAAGGCAGCTTTGGTGATGATTTTCTTGGAGTACTCATAAAAGCTCATCATGACGCCGATGAGAACCAGAGAACTTCGATTGATGAGATAGTTGACGAGTGCAAGACATTTTACCTTGGTGGACAAGAAACCACTAGTAGTGGACTTGCTTGGACTGTCTTTCTTCTGGCAATCCATACCGATTGGCAAGAGGAAGCAAGGAAGGAGGTGATCCAAATATTTGGAAAACAAAACCCTAATCTCGATGGCATTGCCAAACTAAAAATTGTAAGAATGTCAACAACTCACTCATTTTCTTGTCTTTGTTGCGGCATATATGTTACCTTGCAGCTCGAGGTTCTGTTTTCGATTCTTTTTCATGATTCATTTTTCGAGCAGATGAATATGATCTTCAACGAGTCGCTAAGGTTATATCCACCGGTAGTTGCCATGGAGAGGAAAATTGGAAGGGAAGTTAGGCTGGGAAAACATGTCCTTCCTGCTAATGTTGAAATAACCATTCCATGCTTAGCCCTTCAGCACGAGCCTCAAATCTGGGGAAAAGATGTGCTACTTTTCAAACCGGAGCGATTCTCGGAAGGTGTTGCTAAAGCTACAAAGAACAACATAGCCGCATTCTTACCATGGGGATTGGGACCTCGAAGTTGTGTGGGATCTAATTTTGCAACCATGGAAACAAAGATTGCTCTGTCGATGATTCTACAACGCTTCTCTTTCACACTTTCCCCAGCCTACATCCACTCGCCCTACCGGCTTCTTACAGTGCGGCCGCAACATGGAGTTCAAGTAATGCTACGCTCGCTCACATGATGATCAATTTATTAACATTGCGCTTTAGGTTACAAATAATGCAAGCTCTGCTTTGATCTTCAGCCAAAAGGGGAAATAAGATTTACAATGGTGAATAGCCACTATATATTTTTCTTTTCCTGTTTTGCTTTTGGGGAATGTAACGATTAACGATGATGGCTTGTTTGGAACACTGTAGAAAGTACTTTGTTTAGAAGCGTGCTTGCTAGAAGTGATTTTACTAAATTTCGTAGAAATTTTATAAAAAATCCAAGTGTTCTATGAAAAAGTAATTGAAAGTGCTTCTTTAAGAAGCATGGTATCTGACGCTTCTCTAGAAAATGCTTTTATATATGAGCCAGAAATACAGAATAAGATATCCTTTTCGGAACCCTTCCATCTGAATCTTTATTCCTATCCATTCACCCAAAATCGAACGGTCAAGAAATAATTCCTTGTTCATCTTCTTCCGTCTTTTTCCATGTTCACTTCTCATGTTCATCTTCTTTCCTCTTCTCCATCTCTTTCTCACAGTCTCTCTCCAGTTTCAGAATTGAAGAATCCGAAAGATCCGAATGAATGAATCCGGAGAGAATCCAAGTCCTAAAAATACTTAATCGAAGGAGTTTTTGTTGTCATGCTAGTAGGATAGTAGCATGTAAATCATTTTTCGTTGACCATTAGTACAATAGTGGGCCTAAAGCGTTTAATCGTTCACTGCCAAAAACGAAGTCGTTCTGGCCCAAAGAATAGTGGGTCTATATAATTCCCCATACGAACCGGGGAAGGTGTGGTCCAGACTTCAGGCACAGAGACAGATGTTGCATTTGCTTTTTGATTCTTTCAATGATATATTATGAATTATTATCAAAGAAAATTCTTTTTACCATCTTCCTCCTTCCAACAATAATGGGATGTTGGACAAAAAAAAAAAAAACAATAATGATTGTAAGGACTCGTCTGAAAGTGATTTTGAAATGATTGTAAGAACTTCTTGAAAAAATATTTTTGGTTCCAAAAGCAATTATAAATCTATTTTCAGAATTTATTTGTATTTTTACTGAAAATTTGATTTCAAAAACATTTTTACAAAATAATTTTTAACTATTTTAAAAGCAATTTCAAACGAACCCAACTATAGACAGGGAAACAAAAAAAAAAAGTGTAAATATATAATAATTATATACAATTATATATAATGACGATTTGTCACTGGAGTTTGTTATTATATTATATATGATAAACTATGAATAAATGAATTATGAACGTCGGGAACAATGGCCGATTCTTTTCTTTTTATGGAATGGACAAAAATTCGCATCTAGCTAGCTCGCAGTTTTAACCCTAGATCTGGATTATCATTATATTTAGTGAAATTCTACTACTTAATTTTGGCTAAAATATGAACTTAATTAATGTAATTATTAAAGATTAATTAATTATCAAAGGATCAAAGTGCAGAAAAAAGAAAAGGAAAGCATGGAATTTCACGCTGCCAAGCTTTCACAAAAATCAGATTCTACTTTGAATCAGCTTCTAGCTAGAACAAGAACAAGAGAGATAACACCAAAAACAAAAAGGAAAAGAAGGTTTAATGGGGAGAGACAAAAGATCGAGAAGAAAATTAAAGTTCTCAATTCCATTAATTCTTGATAACAAAGCAAATTACATGATAGGTGTAAGCGATGCATGCCCAGCAGCATTACAAACAAACAAAAACCACTTAATTAATACAGACTGGCTACCTCGTATGCATCTCTTACATCCCATGTTTTATAACATTAAACATGCAAAAAAAGATAAAAATAAAAAGGAGAACTAATTAAGAGCAAAGACTTACATATTCAAGCACAAAGAGGCCAAAGTCAAGTAAGTGATAAAAGAAAATTAAAGACCTAAGTTGTTAAGGTAAATTCGGACCGCTACCCTCAATTCCCCGCAATGCAATAATGCCGCTCTCCCGATTCTGCCCGGCACTTGTGTGCTAGCAGGCTAGAAATTCAGGAGAGCGCAATTGCAAAGCTTGTTTTGTATGTTGTTTTTCTGTCACTTTTCATCCATATTTACAACACAACCCTTCTCCGCCGCAGTACTGCCGCTGCCAACCGCCGCCACCTTCATGCCCTCCACACAAGTAGACGAAGTCCCACTGGTGGCAGCTGGCTATCATGGTCGACTTTGCTTCGTAAGTTGTCAATGAGAAAGCTATGTAGTTGATGAGATGAAAATTTTATGGCTAGCAAGAAAGGACCAGAAAGAGAGTGATGAGTGTAGAACTGAGGGGACATGATAGGCCGTATATAAAGACGAGATTGTAAGCTTTTTGTTGAAATATGAGCGTCACATTTTTCTTTTTATTTATTTATTTGATAAAATTTCATTTTCGTAAAGTGAGGTCGAAATTCTTGCTCCAAGCTGGTTAAGGGCATGTTTGTGGGGAATGCAAATAACTCCACTAACTCGGTTTCCAAAGCTCTTGGATTTTTCATATTATTCTCTCATGGAGAAGAGCAAAAAAAAGGAGAAAACAAAAAAAGAAAAGTGGAACTGGATGGGGTTGATTTGTCTGTGTGCGTGAACGTGACTTGTTTGCTGCATACAAAGTTGCAAATTTTCCCATTGAGCTCAAGACAAAAACATCTTAGAAATGTTAAAGGGAATTTCTTAAAAATGAGTTTTTCATGAATTCATCATCTCAAGAAATTTTTTTAACATGACCGTTACACGGAATGGTACATCACGTGTAGATAAATGGTGAGATATGTGTATTAAAAAGTTAATAACTTAAAAAATAAAAATTTTCACCACTTATATAGAAACACGTGATGTACTATCTATGTTTTGGTCACACTGAAAAACTCCTCCATCACTTCATAGTTTAACTTTAATTTTTATGCCAAAATTATAAAATATTGTGCATTAAATCTCTATTATCTTACAATTTAAAGTTAATTCTCGTGCCGACTTTATAAAATATTATGTAAAAAATATGAGGTAAATTCATAGAGAAATCCAATTTATAGAAAGTCCCTACACGCTTCTCAAAAAAAAAATTAATGGGCAACTTTATGGGTTATTACCATATGGAGATGGATTGTCTGCCCTCCCATTTCCATACTCTCTTCATGCCCTCTTATTTGTATAATCACAGTTAAACCACGTCAACATTTTATATTCCTATTACTTTTTGTTTTATTATTTTTATAAAAAATTAATATAAAATGTTGACGTGGCTTAACCGTGATCACACATCACAGAAGGATATGGAGAGCGTATGAAAATTGGAGGACATACAATCCACCTCCATTACCATATAATTGTGTAGCTAGGGTTAGGGTTTTTGGGTGGATGAGGTGAATGCGTGGTGGGTCATTTGCATAGAACCCTGTGCATGCATGGAATTTCGAAGCAGACAAATGGTCCGGATTTCAGCTAAATCTGACTGTGTCTCAACTGTGCCATGCGAATTATGCAATACGAAGGAAAAGGCTGGATGATTGAGCAATAAGACTCTCTTGTTTCAACGTTTTAATACGTCAGTTTAGTCGTTAATCAATGCAGAAGGATGAACTAATAATAATAATGATGAAGCTAATGAAGAATATAAAGATTAAGTTTAGGCAACGTTAAGATGATCCTTTTTGTAGAGTTATGATTAGCGAGCATGCATATTCCTCTATATGCCCGCATGATCAAACCGGATCACATGATATCTTTTTGGCCATGCATGTTTTGATGCTTCAAACTTTAAAGCTAAATCATTATATTTTCAGTGGGTTCAATGATCTCTACCTTTTCAAATCACAAATGTCTTAGATTTTCCTCTTTTCACACTATGTATTGGCAAGGAATCACGGCATGTTTACATGTCTCCAAAATATATAAATACTAGGTTAAATTGTACTGATCAAAGCTATCCATAACTCATTTTTACTTCTAACGCACCGTTCTCAATTTTCGATCATCGGATCAAATGAATTGAAAAAGATTAATGTTCAAAATTAATCAGAAATACAAATAGATATGTGAACAACACTATTCTTTTTAAAATATACTTTAGAAATGAGAAATATCAGCCAAATCGTCAACTTTCAATTTAACACGTAACATTATACACCATATTAACTTGTAGTCTCTAGATTTCCATAAAAAAATCTCTCAAATTATTGATAGTTTGTCAAAGGGAGATCGTGCGGGTGGTTTGATTGCCTTAAACCAAGAAACAAACAAAGAAAATGAAGCAAAATCACTTTGCCAAGGATACGTCCATGACATGATAAAGCAAAAGTTTATAAAGACGATGCACAAGTCAGCGCTCAGATTCTTTCTCTCACTTTACCCATTATTTTCTCTATTAATTATTTAAAAAAATATATCTGGTGTTTTGAATTGTCATGAACAAATGGATGATACTGTGCCAACCAGTCTACAAGAAGTTGTTGGACTGTCTCCATCTGTGTTTTTTCAGAACATTACCTCGAACAGCCGTCTGATCCTGATCAAACGACTTGTGTTTTGACAACAATTATGTGTGGTAGTTGTCGTGAAAGTTGACATTCTGATACATCATGGAGCAATAATAAATGGGACCCATTACGCATTTGGAGGTAGGGCCCCAGCTCCTGATCGTAGAATTTGAGGACTAGCATTTTTCATGCTCAGCCTCACTGAGTGGCCTCCTACAGTCCTCCCCCCGCAAAATATATTTAAAAGTTGATCATATCATCGTTATTAATTAACAACGCCAAGTTTTACGTCTTGATTACGTCATTTGTTACATCAAGTGAACGCTGATAATCTTCTTCATCTAGTGGTTGGCCTTAGGGTTAAACCTTTTTTTATATAATTTTGAAAGTAATTGTGCTATTTACTCACCCAAAATTAGTCACATCCTCTATCAATTTATTGAGAGTATAACTTGAGTCTTGTACCTAATATAAACAACCTAATTGTATTAGAGAAGTGAACTCCTATGAAGTGGCATAGTGGTTGAGAACGAATTTCAAGTTTTCATTTTATACGGCACATTCTGAATTTGATTCTTAACGCGATGTAAATCACACATGATAATAAAAAAAATGCTAAAATGCTACGGTAAATCTTTGTGCCACGTATAAGAACTAGATAACAAATTCAGATTATCCATGCATACATAAGCATTTTTTAAGCTTGAGAGTGATAATCCATGAAACTAGTCGAGTCATCCCGAATCCCAACCCAAGTTCATGATTGGTAATTTCATCATATCCGGCCAGTAAAAGGAGAAGGAGAGAATGCAAGCAACGTCCAGAAGTAGTGAAGATAAAATAAAATGAAATTACAATCATTGGATACTCGATATATATCGAACTGTCGTCGTCCTCGTGAGGAAAATCCAATAAAGCGCCATGTGTTCCTTGAGTGTCCAGTGGTTGGTGGACAGGAAGCGGCGCGTGAGGCCTCGATAGTCCATCTCAGCTAGCACCGCGTTGGTCCCCTCCCAACCCCCTATCCTTTTTTAGCCGTTTCGGGTCAAATACGGCGCCCCATTGGACCAGAAAGCAGCGTCCAACCGAGCCAGCACGCACGCTTCCGCATTGGATCCCTCGTAGGCTTGTAAAAGCCCAAATAAAGAAAGAAAAAGAGTTACTTTTCTTCTTCTTTTATTAACTGTGGTTAATGGAGGCCAGGTAACATGACTGATTACAAACTTAACGGAGAAATAAATTAGGGTATTTCATGTATTTTACCTTAATTGTTGATTTGCACTCGAAACTTTTATTTTGGGCAATTTCTACTTGAACAATTATAAATATTTAAATTCACCGCTACCGTTATGTTATTTTCGTTTAGTTTTACTTCTGCAAATGTTAATTTTAACAACGTTAGTTGTTAAGAAGAGATTTTGGCTAAAATAAAATTTTAAAAGACACTATAACGCATAAGTTCAGTATTAATAGTCTCCTTTTTTTCCGTTGATGATGGGTTTTTCAAACAATCTATTTAGTTTACTTGGCCTTCCCTTTTCTGTTTTGGGTTCCTCTTTTTTTTTTTTTTTTTTTTTTCTTCTTCTTCTTCTTCTAAACAAACGATATTATCTACATTAATGGTGGGAGGATGGTTAATCCTCACAACGAGCAAGATATAATAATATGATTCAAATTTGTTTTTGTCGAGAATCTAACATTTTCTGTTTGGGATCCTCTCTTTATTCTTTTATATTGTCTTGGACTGATTTGTCATCTTTGATATGATGTATCATTTCAGGGATATGCCCTTTGCATAAGGTAGTGATTTAATATTACTTCTGGGGGCGAGGATTTGAGGATTCCGGTCTCTCTCTGTGAGATTTGGGTCCTGGGAATTCCACCATCAATATGGAAAGAGACAATGACCAGGCTCCTCCCCTTGGTCATAAATCTTAATAATTAACAGGCCTTAACTTTCAAACAGAAATTAAACGGATTGGATACTACACAGCCTCCTCATGTAAAACGACAAACAATAAGATTAGAGGGAAAAAAAAGCAACAAATAATAAGATTAGAGGGAAAAAAAAACAAGGTAAGATACAAGTTATGAACCACGAAGGATATATGGAACATTTAAATCAGAGAACTAGCTCATAGTCACATATAGCATTTCAGTACACAACTTTTCTGGTTCGTTTTTGTTGCCTTCTTCCCAATCTCCACATTCCACAACTTCCTGCTACTTCTCCCTTCCCATTCTACTCTTTTCTCTATTTTATTTCCCCTCACAACTATACACCTAATTTTTCGAGGGAACAAAGTATGCAGGAAGGGAAAGAGACCAAAAGACATGGAATCGTTGGCC